CATTCAACTCTGTCCAATTAGAGATGAAATAGTGAGATTAATGTGAGTGTGTGGGAGGCAGGGCGGAAATAGTGAGGAAAGGAAAGGAAAGGAAAGGAAAGGAGGAAAGGAAAGGAAAGGAAAGGAAAGGAAAGGAAAGGAAAGGAAAGGAAAGGAAAGGAAAGGAAAGGAAAGGAAAGGAAAGGAAAGGAAAGATTAATATCTTTAAAGGAAGATTTGGGATCTAATCGTTAGAAGAAGAGACTGTCTCTGACCTAAAAAGTTACTGAAGCAGGGAGCCAGTGTCCTCCCAGGCAAATATTTTAGATAGTATAGCATTCCCCAACCAACAAGGTCAAGGTCAACTTTATTTATATATCACATTGCCAACAGTCCATGCTGCACAAAGTGGAGCATGGAAATAGCATCACAGATGTAAAACAGACAATTATCTTTGGATCTTCACTACTTCAATAAAATTAAAGCTCTTTTAACCCAAATGGGCCCCACACTTTCAACCTGGAGCACTAATTTAATTTTGGCATAGTTATCCCATATCTATATGATAGTTCACTGAAAATCATCCCAAAGGTAGATCTGTGCTTTATCCCATCATTCCAGCTGCTCTTAGGTAGCAATAAGTCAAAGGTGCTTTTTATTGAAGTGAGACTGAAGAGATTTAGTGCACAGTAGATCAGCTTGTTGAGTCTTTTCTGAAAGACTGACTGGTAGTGTGAAGACAGCTCACATAAAAGCTTATTCTCTCCCACTCGGGATGTTTTTTTGGACAAAGCATCAAGGCTTACCATTCAAGATGTTTAATATCAGCGAGAGCACAGGGCCGCTAGCGGGGGCATTGGGAACAACCATGGTGTACTCCCCCACGTTCACCCTTAAAGGGTTCTCATCCAAGACAGGCGTATAATCCTGCAGATCCTCCATTGTGATGATGCCGCCTAAACAGATTGACAAACACTGTGAACGCACACTTGGACAGAACTGCTGCGTTGCACAAATCCTCTTTATCGTGAAAATTAGATGTGCATAGAGGTGTATGTAGCTATTTAAAGACTAAATATAAAGACTTTTTATGGAAACTGCGTATATGGGGTTTTCTAGGTACAGAAACATGATTTTAATTGCAGAAACTGCTGTTCTCATAAGTCTAACCCTTTGACTGTAAATCTCAAAACTGGGAAGATAGCTGGGAAGATAGTTGCGACTATCAGCACAGGAGAACTGAACGTTTGCTGCCAGACTCAAATCAGTTCAGTCCTGATGTTAAGTGCTGGTGAATTTCTATATATGTGACTCCAACTCATCTGTTTTCCCGTTCAATTAAAATGTCTGCTTATTAGTGTTAAAAACTATACTTTGTAAAATAAAAATAGTACCTGCTGCCTGGATATCTGCCACAAGCTTCTGAGCCAATTCTCCCTTGTAAAAAGCATCAGGACCCTCTTCGGCTATTTTTCTATAGGTTTCCGCGAGCTTGGTAAATTTAACGGTTTCATTTTCTTTTAGGACGTCGCTTTTCTCCCCGCAAAAAACTTGACTGAAAGAAGAGAAGATGATTTACAATGGCTTTAGTCACTGTCTAAATAATGTCACAGTTTTTATAGGGATAGTTCCCTTCTTCTCACCACAAGGTTGGGTCCTGCATGATGGTTTGCTTATTACTAGACAAAGCTGAGGCAAGTGCCTTTCCCAAAGGAAATCCTTTCTCTGCAAGTTCAATGCTTGGCATAAACAAGTCTTTCCAAGGCAGTTTTCCATGTCGCTGGTGTGCCATCTGGTAACCTCGAATCTCCCCTGGCACAGCAATCGCCAACCCCCCTAATAACAATGAGGATCAGGCACAAGGAAGTCTTAAAGATTTTATTTTGGTGCACTGAAGTTCTTTAGAGGTTTTTTAAAATAATTTTTAATCTAAATGATTGTTTAATTATTTATTTCACAAGCAAATCTTTAAGAAATTACACTCTCTGACACTGATCACCCTTTTCTCCATCACAATCACAAAGTCATCAGCTTCCCTCAGTTTGTTGCCATGTCAGATAGTGCTGGTTAAACATTACCTTTCTGGGATAGATCTGTACTGTTCCCAAACATGTTTTCTGTTGCGTTGCGTGGTGCCGTCTCCCTGGCATCAATGGTCTCAACTCTCCCTGTGCAGGTCAGGAAAAGCATTTAGGGGCCCAATGAAGTGGAAGCTTTATGGGTTTGTTGTGTTAGTGGGAAAGTATAAGAACTATTTGAAGTAAAATGCATTTAAGACGGCAGGTGTACCAGTCTTTGCATTATAGATGGTGAAGAAAAGTCCTCCTCCGATACCCATACTATGAGCATTCATCAGTCCAACACACAAAAAAGCAGCTATAGCAGCATCTACTGCAGAGCCCCCTCTCTTCAGCATGTCCCTGAGGTTTGAAATAAAAAGGAGACAAAGTGGGAAGGGAAGGTGCTGGAAGTTTTACAGTTAAGATCCTCCGAAGTATCTTGTGGACAGATCTTACCTGCCGATCTCTGAACATGGTCCAGCGTCTGCTGCCACAGCTGCCTTAGAGTACCCCCTCTCACTTTTTGTCTCCCTTCTTCCCACACCAAAGTAGACGCCCACAAAAGTAGCAGCTGCTGCCAGCAGCAGTATTGTCAGTGCCACAATTATTGTCTTCTTTTTCATTTTTATACCTCAAACACAACAAATAATTTCTTTAATACCTCAGAAGACTTGGCTTGTATTTTAAAAGTTGCAATGTTGAGCTAAAACAAAGCAGCAGGAACATGCAAAACACTGAGATTATACATCCTCTGACAGACATACAATACATGTTTAAATACTTTGTGCAATGTGAAACCAAACACGACTGCTCGCACCTGTACCAGCTACATAAAGAGGTTGTAGATGAAATTAATTCAGCAGAGAGAAAACTAAAAATATATATCATGTCCAGTGGCTTGGGTAAATAATTTAGAAATTTAGTCATCATTATACAGCTACGCTCATCATGTATTCCCATTTGATCCAGGTCAGCAATGCCAGTTTGAGGAAAAGATTTGTAGATTTGATAAGTCTGAGGCACAAGATTTCCAACGTTGTGTAATATTAACATAACCACAGTAAGAGCCCTAAGAGAATCAATTTCTAATACTTCCCTGAAAAAACGTCTTGGAAATTGTAGCCTGCAAAGCTTCACTACACGAATAAAACCAGAGAATGTGACGGGAAAGCAAATTAATAGCTGCGCAGCACATTTAATATTAGTGCACATCAGTATAAACTGACTAGTTATACAAAGCTGTCGTCTGTTTTCACACACAAAATAACTTCAATAAACTGAAAACGGCCCCTTTCTTCAATTTAAATTGAACATTTTGCTTTCACAGATATGAATCAATGACCTCTCTTACTTCAGTTCCTCTCGGGGTCTCAGCAGCAGGCTGCACGCTGTGCCACGGTCTGCAGGAGTTGAACGGTAAAAGGCTCACTCAAGGTCTCGATGTGTGATTGTCACAGAGTAGTTAAACTTTAAACCATCCCACCATAAAACACCATACTTGTGTTTTTGATTGGGGTGAAAGATGCAGGCAGACGAAAGTATAGAAAATGAAAAAAAAAAAAAAACCTTAGACAACTGCTTTCAAATAATTAGTTTTCTGTATTCAAGCAACTTTCTAATATCCACAGACAACTGCACAACCCTGGAGCTGAGAGTAAGAAATAATCGCCAGATGAAAGGCTCTTTATCTGTGGTAATACTTTATCTGTGAAAAAGATTAACCAACAGTAGCCTCAGTTTGCTGATGGTTCACTTTAAATAAATGCCAAACGTTTTATAGTTAACACAGGACCTGTTTCCTTCTCTTAAGTAATGCAGCGCCTGCAGGAATGTCATTGAGTTTTTTTTCTTTCTATGACTTCACACAAAACCTAATATTTAGGTTTTTAAATAAAGTGCCTTCTCATCGGAAAAGTGAAGGCTTTCTCGGCTGCGAGGGAGAAGATCTGCCATGAGGCGAGGAAACAAACTCTCTGAACAAACTGCAGGAGAACCATGTGAACGAGTGCAAAGCTGACTGAGGAAGGTCAGTTAAGTAAGCATTCAGGCCGAAAGCAGCAGGGACACGATGGATTACCTTCTTATGTAAGAAAAATTGTGTATGTTTCTGTTCTGTGTCCTGTGTACTGTTTGTTTGTATATGTGTGTTTTTGGCTGCTGTTACAACCAAATTTCCCTTTGTGGGACAATTAAAGGATTATTCTATTCTATTCTATTCTATTCTATTCTATTCTATTCTTATTTTTGACTGATTTGAACCTCAAAACTTGAATGAATCCAGGAACATCTTTACTTTAGCAAAGACACTTCTAATAACTGAATTAAAATATGGTGCACCTGGTGTTGAATTATGCTAAACTATGGATTTTACATTCAAATACGTCCTTGTTTAAAAGCCAAGGATTTTTTGTTAGAAAATCTACCCACATACATTTTTGCAGTTTTTATGTGAGCAATAAACTGCATGATTGCCAGATGTAGCTAAAAAGATAGGATTTTTAATTTATGATAAAATGACAAACTCATATATGCAAATTGATATATTTTTTATATATGTATTTATATTTCGGATGTCTATTTAGTATATTTGTGTGGATTTCTTAAATAAGCACTCCCGTTTTTTGTTTTTTGCTTTTTTAATTGAATTGTCTGGTAATTATTTAATGGTTCGGGCTTCACTGGGTTAAATTCTGTGTAAGCTTTCAGTGTAGCTCATCACAGAAAACACACACGGGTGGAAATGAGTGATGTAGCAGCTCCAACCTATTATAGAATAGAATCAAACAGAATGTGCTTTTTACTGATAAGAGGCTGATTCGTTTAAACTGCTGAATTTGATTAATCTGAATCTTTCCCCAGAGAGCAGGGCAAAGAATCAGTGATGTCCGGGTGGGTGTGATCCATTATTATACACCTGGCTTTCCACTGGAGTCAGGGTGTCGCGCTGACCACCACCTGCCCTCACCAGCTATGCAGCTGGCGAACCACACCACGCAGCAGAGGGTCCGAAGGCTCTCTGCTGTTGAATGATAGAAGCTGCTCAGCAGGTAGCAAGGGAGGTGAACGTGTCTTAGCTTCCTCAGGAAGCAAACGCCTCAGCTGGGCCTTCCCCACCTGACAGGAGATCCGTGGTTCAAATGAGGTCAACCTAAATGTGAACACCAAGGTAACTAAAACTATCTACCTGCTCTACTTCTTGAAGTCCACAATCATTTCCTTGGTTTTTGTAGTGTTTAAATCCAAATGATTGTGATAGCAATAACCTGTGAGCGGCCTGACCTGCTCCCTGTAGGTGGTTTTGTTATTATGTAGAGTTGTTCACCTCAACTAAAATAATGTTTCATTCCATCCTAATGCTGGGGTTTGTTTTTAAGGATATCAGAGGCCAGATTGAGATGGTTTGCAGGATGGCTCTGGTCATTTAGCTGTATTTTCCCTATGTGTGTTTTAAATTCTGGATCCCTTGTCCCATGTGGCCGGTGCACATGGGACAAGGTGCAGGTCCCGTCCCATCCCAGTGACGAACTATTTCGACTTCTGCAATCAGGCAGAAGTTTCCACACTATCAGGGCAAAAACAGAGAGACTCAAGAGGAGCTCCCACTCCCACTTCCCTCATAACATCACCCAAAGTGACGGAAACAGGACATTATATCATATTCTTGTCACGTCCCAGAACTTTTACTGTCATGTTTCATATCATATCTGATTTATTATTACATCACACACTGGTTCACTGATCATACTGCTTCACTACTATTTATATTACTCTGGTTACTCTGTTTAATTATCCTGTTAAAATACTCTGCTTACATTACTCTGGTCACTTTGTTTTCTCTGCTTTATGGCTAATATGCTAATATGGCACAAAGCACTTTAACATTAAGTTCGCACATTGTACTTTTTTCAGATTTAAATTTAAAATTTCCAGATTTAATTTTAATATAAATGTACTTTTTTTTAAATATAATGTCTTGCACAGTCAAAGGAGCAGTTCAGGACACATTTGACTGTGTGTTGTACTTGTATCGCTATGCATGTGACGAATAACGAATCTTGAATCTGTGGAGCCGCAGCTATCAAAGCACTCAAAAATCCAATTTAGGCATTTAAGGAACACAGACCTTTGACCTTTGAATTGCCAAACAAAACAATTATAGTCTTCTTCTTCTTTACTATTTTGTCCCCATCACTTTGCTCCTGCTGTGACATCACCAACAGACAGCATTGATGTTTTCATAGCTGTAACCCTCAGGCTGTACTAAATATTCAGAGTTAGGTGCATTGCTCCATGTCAGACGAAAGAGAACAGCAGGAAAATGGTGCCTTCATAATGCAACAAAACATAGAAGAGATGGGATATTGTTCTTTCCTTTTCACAAGAACAATGAAGCTGTAGATTTCTCCTCAGGCTCCACCCAACTGACAGCCATCCACCAGACAGATGTTTTTTAAAGTTTGGTTTAATGGCGTCTTTAATAAAAGATGTTATTGCAGAACTGTGGGTGAGTCAGATTACTCTAAAATACAAATTGCACTCCAAGTTTTCTAGTTTGGTTCCACCAGACTGGTTGTGGAGTTTCTGTTATGGACTTTGCATTGTTCAACCTGTGGCCTGCATGGGTTTTATTAGCATGATTAAAGTTCAAGGAGTAATTTCAATATACAGTGGAACATAATCAGAATCAATCTGAATCTAACCACGTAATCAGGGATTAATCAAGCAGTTCTTGTCAATCTAAATGTCATTATTTTTTCTGATTGTGTAACTTAGATGACATTTTATTAGTTATTACCCAGCCCTGTGAGGATGAAGACTAGATATGGAGTCTTCATTCATATAGTGTGTAATTCTTATCTAAAGGCAGCTATGTCTGTGTCATGGTCAGTTTTGAGTTTGTCGGAGGTTTGGGGAATTTTTTTTTCACATTCTTTTTTGGGGATTTTTTAATTATTGTGGAGTTTAGTTCTGTCTGAGAGTCTTACATCTGGGTCCTTTTCTGCCTTGCCTCACACACCATTTTATGACAGTCTGGCATACAAAAGCATATAAGGAGCTCATGGCAAAGCCTGACCCCAAAGCCTGATGTGGTGGTGGTGCAACACAGGTTGGTAAATCAGTTCCTATGTTGCATGCAGGTATGTTGAACCACTGAGACACGTCAGCTAAGAAGCATGAGTGTGGCTGGGAAGGTAAAGGAATGCCTCACTCCACCACCATAAAGAGCAGTGAGCAAAGTGAGCCACAGGTGTTCTCGCAGCACGCTAATGATTCTCCTTGAATTTAAATGTTAGCCCACGTCTCATAAACCACACGGTGACTGTGGTGTCCCTCAAGCAGAACAGTGAGAATGAGGAATCCAGGAGATGGAGCTGCAGATCATTAAAGATTTTTTTCCGTACACCTGCTGCTCCTGGAGTAGGCCTCCGCCTGTGAGCGCCGACACATCCTGCAGCACAGCATCCCAAAGGCTCTGCATCAGTTTGGAGACACAAGGGCAGATGAAAGGTGAGATCCACAGTAAACAAAGAGTTCGATTTCGTTCTAAAAGTCCACTTGCGTCTCTCTTCAAGGATCTGTATAAGATTAGTATGACTCTTCAGTACTGCTACAGTAAGTCAGAAATTATAAGCTTTCTAATTACCCACTTCAGTTTTAGAAAAAAGGTCTAGATTAATAAACTAATTTCTGTGTTGTTGTTAATCTTGTGTTTAGAGAAAGTGGCTGTTACCTGCTGCCATAGGCCATAATGATGGTGTCAAGGCAGAATTAAATGCAAGATGAAGGGGGGACAACCCCTCTAAATTAGATGCTTGACAGGGGTTATACTAGGTTTCCATACAAGGAAAGAAAACATGTATGTAGGTTCTCAGTCATCCAGGTCATGGTAATCTAAGGAGCTGACGCACAGCTGTTCAAACTACATGTCAGTGAAAAAGGATTTTTTTTACCTCTAGCCTCACTCAGCCTCACAGGTGGGTTCTCCAGTTCCACTTTCACAACTGCACCTAAATACTTTTGAGGTGGAGGGTTGTTAAACAACGTTAAAGGAAAGTTAAAGTTAAAGGAACGAGATTTAAGGGCCCACCAGCAATCTGGCAGTACTCGTCACCGGTGCATGACAGAGGGCACATCCAAAGGTCTCCACGGTCCATTTTTGTAGTGACGGCCCATGAACTGTTCAAACAAGGATTCGCTGTTGGGACATGGAACTTCTTTGAGGCGATCTTTGTAAAGGGTGCACTGGGTGGTGTGGGAGGAGCCCTAAAGAGGAAGGCTGACAGTCTGGTCAGCAAAGGGACAGACATTCCTGATGCTACAGAACTGTTTGCTGTGTTACAAAAGACAGAAATGGTAATCAGGTTGTTTTTTGCCAATGATGATGCAGTAGAGAAAGCAGTTCAGGAGATGCCCAAAGATGTGCCATCAATTCAATCCACTATGAGGATACATCAGGCAGTGACCATTGCCCAGGCAAAACTGACATGCAGGGATGTCGGGTGCCTGTGCACACTAAATTCTGATCTGTGAGTGCTTTAATGCAAAGCATTTCACACTCAATCATTAACAGATAGCACCCAAAGCCACAGATATTCTGTGGCAAAGTCCTGAAGTTGTTGGCGAATGGTGTGTGGTAAAGTAGTGGTGACCTCCAACCAGGTGTCATCACAGATACACATGTTGAGGTGCATGAACAAAACTGGGGTCATCCCACCACTGAAGCCAGTCACAGCCTGCTATATGGAAATTGAAAAAGAGGCCCAAACTAGAGAGGGACTCTTAGAAAAGGTTACATAAGTTTGTTTTCACACACACTCACACACACACTGACATGCACACATTCTCAGGACATGTTCAATCCTGTTACTTTGCTTTGTTTCTGCAATTATGTCGCTTAATAAATACGATGAACTTGAGGTTTGTGTCAACTTGAACTGATAAATGTACCTTTGGATCTTTAAAAAACACAGTTTCTGTGTGTACATAAGGATTTTTGGTCACAAATATCAGTTATTTGACTTTCTTGACTTTTCTTGGAAAGTCAGTGGAATTCGTCCATGTTTTAAACATGTTTTTTGAGTTTTGATAACAGGACTGAAAAAAATGCAAGCATCTTTGGCTTACAAGGCTTGTTAAACTTGTTAATATGACAGCATTACACAGTTGCTGCAGATTTATCAGCTCCACGTCCATGATGTGAGTCTCCTGTTCCAACACATCCCAAAGGTGCTCTATTGGACTGAAATCGTGTGACTGTGGAGGACATTTGAGAGGACATTTGAGAAACCAATCTCAGATAATCCAAGATTTGTGATGTGGTGCATCACCCCGCTGAATGCACCCATCAGAAGATGGGTACACTGTGGTCATAAAGAGACATGGTCAGCAGCAATACTCAGGCAAACTGTGGCATTTAAACAATGCTCAGTTGGTTCTAAGGGACCTAAAAAAAAATGCCAAGAAAATATCCTCACACTGTTACACCACCAGCAGCCTAAACTGCTGGCACTAGCCCAGATAGATCCATGCTTTTTTTTTTCAAAGTCTGATTCCTACCATTGTAATGTCACGGTGGAAATCAATGCCCATCAGACCAGGCAACATTTTTCCAATCTCCTGTTGTCCAGTTTTGGTGAACCTGTGCAGATTATGACATTTATTTTACTGTTTTTAGCTTATAGAAGTGCTGATCAGTGTGGTCTTCTGCTGTTTTAGCCCATCTGCTACAAGATCCAGTGTGCATTTAGAGATGCACTTCTGCGTACCTTTGTCATAATGAGTATGTATTTGACCTACTGTTGCTTTCCTATCAGCTCAAAGCAGTGTGACAATTTTCCTCTGACCTCTGACATCAGCAAGGCATTTTCACCCACAAAACGGCTGATCACTGGATATATTGTTTTTCAGACCATTCTCTGTAAACCCTATTGATGACTGAGTGGGAAAATCCCAGTATGACAGTCTGACTGACACCAACAGCCATGACACGTTCAGTCAAGTCACGTAGGTCACATTTCTGGCCCACTCTGATGCTCACTTTGAACATTAACAGGTCGTGATTGTATATTTAAGTTGAACATGTGTACCTAACAAAGTGGCCAGTGAGTGTAAATACCACTGAAGGTAGGTGACCCATACAGACGCCCCAAATCTCAATAAACAGATGCATCAAAGCATCATGTTGTGATAACAAATTTCACCAAACTGACAAAAACTCAAACTAAACATATTTTCTGGATGCTTTTATTTTTATTCACTTTATTCGCACCCAGTTTCAGATTGTAGTTCAGCTTTAGCCAACTCCAATAGCTATGCAAGAAAACTCAGCTGAGTGTTTTCCTGCACTCTCAAGCTGTGCAGCGAGTACCGATCTGATTGGCTGAGAAGAAACACCATCCCCGAGTAAAGCGAGGGATGCCAGAGTGCTTAGGCAGTGCATGGACAGATGCAGACTGAGAGAAGACGGCGGCGAAACCAGCCGCACATTTACGGTGGCGATGCTGTGCGGTTGGTTAGTAGCCTTCAAACTTTGAGGCACTATTGCCTCATGCATCTCCTCACATTTCAAGTTAAGTGTGATGTTTTGGCTGCACGCTGAAAATTCGCTCTCCGCACCAACAGTGACACATCCTCCCAGGAGTGATGGGCTCTAAGTTGACCAGACAGAGAAGTCTCGATTTTGATAGCAAATTGTCAAAAAGGAGACGCCAGAGGAATGATATTCCTGGAGAGAGCGAGAGGAGTGGCGGCAGGAGCGGAGACTTCTTGTTTACCTCCCTGATGCTCAAGTCCGACAAGCTTCCAGGGATGCTGCGGAAAACCAACCACAGCCCATATGTCAGGCGGGTGGCTTGGGTCCGGGAAATCCAGAGGCTTCTCCGAGAGCAGAAGATGGAGCAAGCGGCCGAAGTGCTGAAAGTGCTGAGAAAGGCAAGAGACCGAGCTTATTTTAATCATGCATGCGCTTACTGTGGAAGCTTGGGGGAGGGGGGACTACTTTATTCCTAGTGTACCTGAAACTTTGTGACTAAAGGATGGAGGGTGGTTTTTAAGCAACTGGCCTTCTTAAATCGCTAGGAAGCTGGTTTTGCGTGAAACTGTGTGCTTAATGTTTGAACCATCCACAAGTGCATTTGTAAAATTCTGTAGTTCAGTTTTTGCATGTCTGCTAAAACCTGGTCACGTCTAACAGAACATTCACTAAAAGCAGAAGTTCAGCATAATGATCACACCCCAGCTAGTAATAGCCTTTGGCCATCAGCGTTTCTGATTTCTAAAATCCTGTGCAACTTCTCCTCAAATGAAGGCATGCTGAATAGTTCCATAAAGTCTGTTTCTTTGGTTAAATTCTGGTCCAATCAAACATTATTATACTATGAATAATGATTTTATTTTGTTGTTGTTGTACGGCATTTCTTAACACATTGTTGCAGAGCTCTTCACAATTACAAAAAAACACATTAAAGATAAGTATACACAACCCATCATGCAAACACACGGGCACACACAATCTTTTGATTGTGTTTTTTCATAAAGGCATAGTTCTGTGCATCCATTCGGTTTGAGTTATATCACAAAAATACTGGATGAAAGATTAGAGAAACATATGAAACCACAGAAATTAGTTCTCAGTAGTTATTTAAAACACACCCACTTATTCAGCTTACCTGATAAGCTGAGGGGGCTGATGTACTACAACCTCAAAAGAGTTTACAATAAAGTCAAAAAGATTTCAAATTAGAGCTTGGGTCAGTATATAAAGACTCTGCTCAGATGACCAGAGCCTGGAGCCTGGCCATACAAGGCTATAAAGGCTTTATATGAAATTAGTAACACTTTGAAATGAATTCACAAATTTCACTGGATGTCAGTGAAAGGGAAGCCAGGATAAGAAGGGTGGTGGCCATGTTTTTTGTGAGCAGCTGCAATTCTGGATGAGCTGATGATGGGCTAAGCGGGACTGAGGGACGCACATAAAATGTGAGAGATGAGAGAAAATTAAAGTGCGTACTAAAAGCTCTAAATTATGGGTGGGTCTAAATGATCTGTGTTTGATTTATGCATTGTTTTTTTGGTTGAACGAAATAGGTTTGAATGAGCTTAGAAATGTGAGATTAAAAATTCAGATGCTGGTGAAATATTAAGATTCAGATGATGAAGATGGAGATGATAAACTCAGGCTCAATATTTTTATCAGCCTTTTATATTAACACTGAAAGTGTGAGTAGGCAGACTTAAGAACCTGGGGTGACTCTGTTTACCAGTCAAGTTTATAGAGTATGCAAAGCCTGTATATAATGTAAATGAATGGCATGTCTGTTCACTGTTTTCATTGTTAAGAAGGCTTAAGAAGCAGTTTATCCAAAAGTCTTGGAGGTTATAATACACCATTGTTATAAATAGCTCTAATCAGTCCCCGATCGAAACACCTTTCTTTCCCCAGCTTCATAGCTCTGAAATAATATACAGGTCTAGGGTAAGGGAAGCCTTTCTTCTCTCATCTGTTACACATTGCTGTGTGTTACCATCTCTGGGTTAATCCTTGCTCTAGATTTATACAAACTAGAGAAATAAGAAAAAATAAATATTTTTCAAGCTTGAAGCCTGAGCTTCCTGCTGCCTTCTGTTAGCTGTGATCAAAGGGAACAGTTCTGAAGTTCAGACAAAAGCAGTTTTGATCAAGAGGGCCTCCTGTCATGAAAAGTCCCTGCCCATCTGTAGGGTGCTGTAGAATAAATTATACAGATGTGTGCAGATTAAAGCAGGAAACAATGCCGATGGGAAGCTCTCAAAAGTCTGAATTAAAGACAGATTTATGGGTATCCTTCTGCTAAAACCAATAGCAGAGCACAAAATAGGATGAATTGTTAAGCTTCATACACTATTTGCATGAAGCAGGAGGGAAGTGACTCATACATATTCCTTTAAGACTTCAAAGTGTCTATGTTTATTAAAGCAGACCTACAGTCAGTCATTTCTTTTTATTTTTTTAAAGGATTTTAAAGATCAACATGTAGATTTGTTGGTCGTGTGCAGGGGCTGCTTTCTCCATAGCTCGGCATTTAAACTGCTCACGAAGCACGAATAGTCTCTCCATCACTCAGTGAGGTGAAGCCAGAGCACTGCTACGTTGTTGGGGCTGAAGCCAAGTGTCTGACTAATAATACTTCAAGACTGGAGGGGAAAAAAACTGCCAGTTGATCTCCTGTTGTTGTTCTCTAGCAGTAAAGCAGCTTTTCCTCTCAGGGACGGATGGTTTTGGAGATAATCACCTCGAAGTGATGAATGCTGGAACAAGTGTCTTTCACATCGAGGAAGTCGTTTCAAAGAGGAACGAATAACATCGGCCCCCACATGATATCTCTGTGGTAGATCTGCCTTCTGGGCCATTAAGTTCATTAGTTTGGGATCTTCTAGATATTTATTAGCAAACAAAGAATCAGCAAATACTGATATTAATTACCAATATGTAGCTATGGAGAAAACAGTAATTAAACTGCTCCACATTATTGTATGTGACCTTTTTAAAGATTAAGATTAGTTGTCAGAAGCACACTTATTTTATTAACTGGAAAAACATCCTAAATAACAGTGGGCTAGAAATGGATATAAAAAAAATACATGGAAATACGGCATATAAAGCAAAAACATAATTTGTACAATTCTAACAAGCTTGAAAATCGATATTTGGTATGACCACCTTTAATTTTTCAACACAGCCTAAACTCTCTTAGACAAGTTTTCTTGTCATTTGTTTAAGTTGTCTTCAGGAATAGTTCTCCAGGCTTCTTGAAGGATATTCAAAGCTCTTATTTGGATGTTGGCGGACTTTTGTTTCGCTCTCTGTCAAGATGATCCCACACTGCTTCAGTAATAATCAGACTCGGGGAGGCCAATCTATGACTGATAAGATTCTGCTGTTTGTTCTTCATTGGCAGTGTGCTTCAGATCACTGCTGATAAATGCACCGGACGCTTTCCCAGTCGTATTGCATGAAGAGTCAAAATCTGACTCTAGTTTTCTACATTCAAAATTGATCAATTTTGACAAGATCTCTGACACCACTGGTTGAAATCCAGCCCCAAAACATGACAGAGCCTCCGCTGTGTTGCACAGATGGCTGTAGACACATCACTGTTGTACCTCAATGTAAACTGACGATGATTTAAACCAGAAATTTAACATTTGGATTCATCGTTTCATAAAACATCTTGCCACCAATTTTTAGTCCAGTTTTTGTAATTTTCATCCCGTTCTTTAAGAATGGCTTGTTGACAGCCAGCCTTCCACTAAAACCGCTTTGATGCGGGTTCAGTGAGCAGTAGATGGATCAGCTGAAGGGTCAGATGCATCTCTCGGGTCCTGTGTCTGATCTCTACAGGATTTTTCCTATTTCTTAATTAGATGACTTTCAGATCTTTTTTAGACCTGCCACTTCTTCTTTTGTTCACCACTTGTCCGGTTTCCTTTTTTAAGACACGCTACGTCAAGTTTTTGGCTCTTTGGGAATCACCTTGTTGGTCTAAAAAAGCTATTTTATGCCTGCTAACTGTGTTATCTTTGGCAATTTTTGGATATCCAAGTAAAGAAGTGGAGACATGGTGTGTTTTGCTGCTGGTAAGAAAATTTGGCTCTTTGCTAAGTTGCTAAGTAGACACAATACCAGTTATTCAGTTGACTTAAAAGCCTTTTAATGATTGAATAAGTCAGAGGTTGGTGGTCAGTGGCTTAAAAGGAAAAAACACTCTGAAATTGGTCAGGTGAAAGGACTGGACTGAAAATGAGTGAAAACGTAGTCAGTGTCCACTGTTAAAGTTTAAAATGCCCTGAGAAAGCTTGGAAAACTATTCCTCAAGACCACTTAAAAATTACAACAGCCTGGCTCCTTGGAATTAAAATACAAAATCAAATCAACTTGCCTTAAGTTTGTTAATATGGTAATAACAGTATAGCTGGATTGCAGCCAAGATGCAACCCTCTTAATGGCAGCATTCTTGCTTATGTACATGCGAGGTAATGTTTTAATAGTCTAAATAAAAGCTTCACACTGAATCACGTCGGGGGGCTGCTTTGAATGGATTTTACAGTGTGACTGGTCCTAACGCTGATGAGTTAGCAGCTAACAGAGCTCTGATTAGAAAATCAATTATTTACATGTGTAGGCTATTTATTGCTAATCATTTTCAGTCAGCCAAATTAGATAGATAACTCTTTATTGTCATTACACAGTCATACCTAGTACAATAGTACAACGAAATTGGTGCCACGTCGGCACCAAGCACAACACAACAAAACACAACACAGTAACTTTAAAGTGTTTTTTTAAGTGCAAGAAAGGTATGAGCAAAAAAATGAATGACTTAATAAATAAAAGAATAAGTGAATGCTTATTGTACATTATTTTTATTGCACACCAAAAAAGTCAAGGGAGGTAGCCATTCAGGTCAGCTGTTAGCACTGATTAGTATCTAACTGTTACTGTAACTGTTGTAAAAGCTGTCCTTGAGTGTGTTTGTTTGTGACCTCAGCAACCTAAATCTCCTGCCAGACGGCAGCAGCTTAAACACCCGATGTCCTGGGTGTGTGAATCCCGTAGGATGCTGTGTGCCCTCTTGAGACAGCGAGTGCTGTACGGGTCCTTCAGGGAGGGAAGAGGATGTCCAATGATTTTTTGGGCCATGTTGATGACCCTCTGAAGTGCCTTTTTGTGTGCTGAAGAATTATACAGAGATGCAGTATCTCAGCACACTTTAACTTGAGCAACAGTAGAAGACGATCAGCAGCTCCCTCTTCAGGTCCATTTTTCTGAGGATTCTCACAAAAGTGGAGACGCTGTTGGGCCTTCTTTACAACCGTCGAAGTGTTTGAGCTTCATTGGATGTCTGTGTCTATGTGCATACCCATTAACCTGAAACTGGACACCCTTTCTA